AAACCAGCCCCAAATCCCCCGAAATTCACTCAAAAATCCAGCCCAAAATACCCCTAAATAAACCCAAAAATCCAGCCCAGAAACCCCAAAAATCACCCAAAAATCCACCCCGAAATCCAGCCCAAAACTCTGAAAAATCACCCCGAAATCTCCCCAAATTCCACCTCGAAAATACCCCAAAATCCAGCCCCAAAATCCAGCCCAACAATGTGCCAAAATCACCCCAAAACCGCCCCAAAATCCACTCCCAAAATCCTTGAAAATCGCCCCAAAATCCACTCCCAAAACCCCTGAAAATCACCCCAAAATCCAGCCCAAAAATGTGCCAAAATCACCCCAAAACTACCCCAAAATCCACTCCCAAAATCCTTGAGAATCACCCCAAAATCCAGCCCAAAAATGTGCCAAAATCGCCCCAAAATCCACTCCCAAAACCCTTGAAAATCGCCCCAAAATCCACTCCCAAAATCCTTGAAAATCACCCCAAAATCCAGCCCAAAAATGTGCCAAAATCACCCCAAAATCCACTCCCAAAATCCTTGAAAATCACCCCAAAATCCAGCCCAAAAATGTGCCAAAATTGCCCCAAAATCCACTCCCAAAATCCCCCTTGAAAATCGCCCCAAAATCCCCCAAAATCACCCCGAAATCCACCTCAAAAATTCACCCAAAACTCCAATCACCCCAAAATCCAGCCCAAAAATGTGCCAAAATCACCCCAAAACTACCCCAAAATCCACTCCCAAAATCCTTGAGAATCACCCCAAAATCCAGCCCAAAAATGTGCCAAAATCGCCCCAAAATCCACTCCCAAAATCCTCGAAAATCACCCCAAAATCCAGCCCCAAAATGCCCCAAAATCACCCCGAAATCCACCTCAAAAATTCACCCAAAACTCCTTAAAACGCACCAAAAATCCGCCCCAAATTTACCCCAAAATCCACCTCAAAATTTACCCCAAAATCCCCCAAATTTACCCCAAAATTACCCCAAAATCCAGCCCAAAAATGTGCCAAAATTGCCCCAAAATCCACTCCCAAAATCCCCCTTGAAAATCGCCCCAAAATCCCCCAAAATCACCCCGAAATCCACCTCAAAAATTCACCCAAAACTCCTTAAAATGCACCAAAAATCCGCCCAATTTACCCCAAAATCCCCCAAATTTACCCCGAAATTCCCCAAAACCACCCCGAAATCCACCTGAAAATTCCCCCGGATTTTCCTAAAATCCCCCAAATTCACCCCAAAATTTTCCCAAAATCCCCCAAATTCACTCCAAAATTTTCCCAAAATCCCCCAAATTCACCCCAAAATTTTCCCAAAATCCCCCAAATTCACCCCAAAATTTTCCCCAAAATCCCAAATTCCCCCAAAATCCCAAATTTCCCAAAATCGCCCAAACTCTCCCCAATTGTGCAGATCTGCGCACGGGCTCGCAGGTGCAGCTGATCGAGGTGCACAAGTACCAGGTGCGCACTGGCGCTTCTCGAGGGGCCGGGCGGCCGGGGGCGGGGGCGGGGGCGGCAGGTCCAGCAGCACCAGCCCCGCCCCCCCCGAGTGCTCCAAGATGGCGGCGTTGAGGCGCTCGGCCGCGTGCATGCGCCGCACGTTCCCCCTGACCAGTATGGACCAGTATAGACCAGTATGAACTGGTATGGACCGGTATGGACTGATACAAACCAGTACAGACCGGTACAGACCAGTATAGACCAGTACAAACCAGTATAAACCGGTATAAACCAGTATAAACCAGTAGGGACCAGTACAGACCAGTAGGGACCGGTACGGGGTGGTATAACCAGTGAAAACCAGTATGGACCAGTATAGACCAGTATAGACCAGTATAGACCAGTAGGGACCAGTATAGACCAGTAGGGACCAGTACGGGGTGGTACGGGGTGGTATAACCAGTGAAAACCAGTATAGACCAGTATAAACCAGTATAAACCAGTATAAACCAGTACAAACCAGTATAGACCAGTAGGCACCGGTATGGGGTGGTATGGGCTGGTATAACCACTGAAAACCAGTACGGACCAGTATAGACCAGTATAAACCAGTATAGACAAGTATAAACCAGTATAGACCAGTATAGACCAGTATAGACCAGTATAGACCAGTATAGACCAGTATAGACCAGTATAGACCAGTATAGACCAGTATAGACCAGTATAGACCAGTATAGACCAGTATGGACTAGTGTATATTTAAAAGGGGGCGTGTCCCGACGTGGCCCCGCCCCCAGGTGTGCGGGGGCGGCCCCGCCCTCACGCTGTGGCACCTGCGCTCGGGGACCCCGACCACGGTGTTCCCCCTGCCCCTCCCCCAGCACCACGCGCTCTTCCACCAGGACATGGTGAGTCCAGTTCAGACCAGTATAAACCAGTACAAACCAGTATAGACCAGTACGGACCAGTACGGGGTGGTATAACCACTGTAAACCAGTACAGACCAGTGTAAACCGGTAGAGACCAGTACAGACCAGTATAGACCAGTAGGGACCGGTACGGGGTGGTACGGGGTGGTGTAACCACTGAAAACCAGTACGGACCAGTATAGACCAGTATGGACTGGTATAAACCACTATGGGCTGGTATAACTGGTATAAACCAGTACAGACCAGTATAAACCAGTATAGCCCAGTATAACCCAGTCTGTCCCAGTGTAACCCAGTATAACCCAGTATCTGTTCCCAGTACATCCCAGTATAACCCAGTCCATCCCAGTATAACCAGTATCTATCCCCAGGTGCTCTCGGGCGGGGTCGGCCCCGCCCTGCACCTGCTGCAGCCCCAGTATAACCCAGTATAACCCAGTATAGCCCAGTATCTGTTCCCAGTTTGTCCCAGTCCATCCCAGTATAACCAGTATCTATCCCCAGGTGCTCTCGGGCGGGGTCGGCCCCGCCCTGCACCTGCTGCAGCTCAGCGGGGACGTGCGGGGGAGGGTCCCGGTGTCGCCCCCCGCCCTCCGGAGCCTCTGCCTGCACCCCCGCTCACCTGAGCACCAGGTGAGCCAAAATCACCTGAAATCACCCCAAAATCCACCCCCAAACCTGCCCCAGCCTCTGCCTGCACCCCAGGTCCCCTGAGCACCAGGTAACCCCAAAATCACCGGAATTCACCCCAAAATACACCCGAAAATACACCCCCAAACCTGCCCCAGCCTCTGCCTGCACCCCAGGTCCCCTGAGCACCAGGTAACCCCAAAATCACCTAACAGCTGAGACACACCTGGGCACAGCCAGGAACAGCCCCAAGATCGACGTCTTCACCAACCTGGGCTACCGGGCGTTCTCATTGACCGTTACCTGAGAGCACCTGGGCACACCTGGGCACACCTGGGAACACCTGGGAACAGCTGAGACACACCTGGGCACAGCCAGGAACAGCCCCAAGATCGACGTCTTCACCAACCTGGGCTACCGGGCGTTCTCATTGACCGTTACCTGAGAGCACCTGGGCACACCTGGGCACACCTGGGCACACCTGGGCACACCTGGGACACACCTGTGACACACCTGAGCACAGCCGGGAACAGCCCCAAGATCGACGTCTTCACCAACCTGGGCTACCGGGCCTTCTCCCTGACCGTTACCTGAGACACACCTGGGATACACCTGGGACACACCTGAGAGCACCTGAGACACACCTGGGAACACCTGGGCACACCTGGGCACACCTGAGTCTCACTTGTGCTCACCTGGGCTGTTCTCACCTGTTCCCACCTGCCTGAGCCCATCTGAACCTCACCTGGGCTCACCTGGGCTGTTCTCACCTGCCTGAGCTCACCTGTGCTCACCTGGGCTCACCTGGGCTGGGCTCACCTGGGCTGTTCTCACCTGTCTGAGCTCACCTGGGCACACCTGTCTCTCACCTGTTCCCATCCGTGCTCACCTGGATCTCACCTGAGCTCACCTGAGCTCACCTGAGCTCACCTGTGCTCACCTGAGGACAGCTCAACGTCACCTGTTCTCACCTGGGGTCACCTGCGTGTGCTCACCCGAACCTCACCTGGGCTCACCTGGGCACACCTGAGTGAGTCTCACCTGTTCTCACCTGTTCCCATCTGTGCTCACCTGAACCTCACCTGGGCTCACCTGAGGACAGCTCAACGCCACCTGAGCTCACCTGGGCTCACCTGAGCTCATCTGTGCTCATCTGAACCTCACCTGTGCTCACCTGGGCTGCTCTCACCTGTTCTCACCTGTCTGTGCTCACCTGAGCTCACCTGGGCTCACCTGGGCTGGGTTCACCTGGCTGTTCTCACCTGTCTGAGCTCACCTGTGCTCACCTGGATTTCACCTGAGCTCACCTGTGCTCACCTGAGGACAGCTCAACGTCACCTGTTCTCACCTGTCGGTGCTCACCTGAGCTCACCTGGGCTCACCTGAGCTCATCTGTGCTCATCTGAACCTCACCTGTGCTCACCTGAGGACAGCTCAACGTCACCTGTTCTCACCTGAGCTCACCTGGGCTGTTCTCACCTGCCTGTGCCCACCTGGGCTCACCTGTGCTCACCTGGGCTGGGTTCACCTGGGCTCACCTGTTCTCACCTGTCTGGGCTCACCTGGGCTCACCTGGACCTCACCTGAACCTCACCTGGGCTGGGCTCACCTGTGCTCACCTGAGGACAGGTGAACCTCACCTGTGCTCACCTGAGCTCACCTGGGCTGTGCTCATCTCTCTCACCTGTTCTCACCTGTTCTCACCTGTGTCTCAGCTGTCCCCGCCCGTGCTCACCTGGGCTCACCTGAACCTCACCTGAGCTCACCTGAGGACAGCTCAACGTCACCTGTTCTCACCTGGGGTCACCTGTGTGTGCTCACCTGAGCTCACCTGGGCTCACCTGGGCTGGGTTCACCTGGTTGTTCTCACCTGTCCATGCTCACCTGTTCTCACCTGAACCTCACCTGTGCTGGGTTCACCTGGCTGTTCTCACCTGGGTTGTTCCCACTTGTGTTAAAAGGGGGTTAAAAATGGATAGAATTGGGGTTAAAATGGGACCACGGCAAGACCACCCTGACAGCCGCCATCACTAAAGGTGAAAATGGGGTAAAAAAGGGAAAAAATGGGAAAAAAGTACAAAAAACGGGGTTAAAATAGAGAAAAATGGGGAAAAACGGGGTTAAAATGGGTAAAAAGGGGTTAAAAATGGATGGAAATGGGGTAAAAATGGGGTTAGAATGGGATCATGGTAAGAGCACCCTGACTGCTGCCATCACCAAGGGTGAAAATGGGGTAAAAAATGGAAAAAACGGGAAAAAAATACAAAAAAAGGGGAAAAACGGGTTAAAAGGGGTTAAAAATGGGGTTAAGATGGGTAAAAATGGGGGGAAATGGGGTTAAAATGGGATCATGGTAAGAGCAGCCTGACAGCTGCCATAACTAAAGGTGAAAATGGGGTAAAAATGGGAAAAAATGGGAAAAAATACAGAAAAATGGGAGAAAATGGAGAAAAACTGGCAAAAAATGGGTTAAAAATAGGTTAAAAATGGGATTAAAATGGGGGAAATGGGTTAAAGTGGGAGCGTGGCGAGAGCACCCTGAGTGCTGCTGTAACTAAAGGTGAAAATGGGGTAAAAAATGGGAAAAATGGGAAAAAATACACAAAAATGGGAAAAAAATGGCAAAAAACGGGTTAAAAATGGGTTAAAAATGGAGAAAAATGGGTTAAAAATGGGGAAAAATGGGTTAAAAGTGGGGAAAAAATGGGATCATGGCAAGAGCACCCTGACAGCTGCTGTAACCAAGGGTGAAATGGGGCAAAAACTGCAAAAAACGGGAAAAATGGGTTTTAAAATAGAGAAAAATGGGGGGAAACGGGGGAAAAATGGGGGAAAATGGGGAAAAAATGGGAGAAATGGAGTGAAATGGAGTAAAAATGGGGAAAAATGGGGGAAAAATGGGAAAACCTGGGAGAAATGGAGTGAAATGGAGTAAAAATGGGGAAAAATGGGGGAAAAATGGGAAAAGCTGGGAGAAATGGAGTAAAAATGGGGGAAAATGGGGAAAAATGGGAAAACCTGGGAGAAATGGAGTAAAATGGGGGAAAAATGGGGAAAAGGGCAAAAAAGGGCCAAAAGCAGGGGCTGGGACAGAGAGAAGAGGATTTTGGGGGGAATTCCGGGGTTTTTGGGCCTAATCCCGGCATTTTTGAGATTGGAGGGTTCTTTCAGCTCCGAGCTGATTTTGGGGTGAATCACTGAGGTTTTGGGTCCCCCAGTGCTCTCAGCGGGGGGCGGGGCTGGATCTGGGCTGCGTTTTGATGCAAATTTTGGGTTTTTTGGTGCGAATTTCGGGATTTTTGGGCCGAATTTGGGGTTTTTGGGTCCGGGGGGGTTCCTGCAGCACTGAGCTGATTTTGGGGTGAATCACGGAGGTTTTGGGTCCCCCCCTGCAGTGCTGTCGGCAGGGGGCGGGGCGCAGTTCCGGCCCTACGAGGAGATCGACAGCGCCCCCGAGGAGAAGGCGCGCGGCATCACCATCAACGCAGCGCACGTGGAGTACAGCACCCCGAGGAGGCACTACGCCCACACCGACTGCCCCGGGCACGCCGACTACGTCAAGGTGGGAACAGCCCCGGGTTTTGGGGGGAAAAATGGAGATTTTGGGAAAAAACGGAATTTCGGGGGGAAAAAAGTGAATTTCGTGGGAGAAAAGGTCAAGTTGTGGAGGGAAAAAGAAAAAGTGAGAGGAGAAAATCAAGTTAGTGGTCAAAGCCTCAAGTCTGGGGAAAAAGGACATGATTTTGGTGGAAAAAGCTGAGTTTTTGGGAAAAAAGTGGAGTTTTGGGGGAAAAAATGAGATTTGGGGGATAAAACCTGTTTTGTGGGGAGGAAAGGTGACTGAAGGGGAAAGAAGAAAAATTATGGGTAAAAATCCTGAGTTTGGGGGAAAAAAGTGTGGAATTTGGGGAGAAAACCTGAATTTTGGGGAAAAAACGGAGTTTGGGGGAAACCGCAAAGAAATAGGAAAAAAACGCAGAAAAGACCCAAAATCTGCACCCCAAAAGGGCTCTGGGGTAACACTGTGTGCCCTGGAAATGGGGATTGAGTCAAGGTGGGGCACCCCCAAAACCTGCGCCCCAAAAAACCCCGGGTTTTGGGGAGAAAAATGGAGATTTTGGGAAAAAACGGAATTTCGGGGGGAAAAAAGTGAATTTTGGGAGAAAAAACGCCGAGTTATGGAGGAGAAAATGAGATGTGGGAGGGGAAAAATTGAGTTAGAGGTGAAAGCCACAAAATTGGGGGAAAAACCAGAATTTTGGGGAAAAAACTGAGTTTTGGGAAAATTCCTTCAAATTACCCCCAAAAAATCCCCCAAATTCTCCCAAAACTCCCCCAAATATCCCCCAAAACTCCCCCAAATTCCTCCTGAAATTCCCCTGAAATCCCCCCCAAATCCCCAAAGATTCCCCAAAAAATTCCCCCAAATCCCATAAAAATCTCTGAATTCCCCCGAAACTCCCCAAATTCCCCCTGAAAATTCCCCAAATTCCCCCAAAAATCCCCTAAATTCCCCCAAATCCCTCTGAAATCACCAAACTACCCTAAAAAAATCTCCTGAATTCCTCCAAAAATCCCCCAAATTCCCCTGAAAATTCTCCAAACCCCCCAAAACTCCCCCCAAATTCCCCAAAAATCCCTAATTTTCTCCCAAAATTCCCCCAAAATCCCAGGAAATCCCCCAAATCCCATCAAAATCTCTGAATTCCCCCCAAATCCCCCAAAAATCCCCCAAAACTCCCCGAAATTCCCCTAAAAAATCCCCAAAATTCCCCAAATCCCCCTGAAATCACCAAATTCCCCTGAAATTCCCCAAATTCTCCCAAAAATCCCCTAAAACTCCCCCAAAATTCCCCGATTCCCCCTGAAATCACCAAACCACCCCCTAAAATCCCCGAATTCTCCCGAAGCTCCCCTAAATTCCCCCCAAATCCCCCAGATTTTCCCAAAAATCCCCCAAGCTGGCCCGGCAGGTAAGGGGCGTGGCCAGGGCTGAAAGGGGCGTGGCCAGGCAGGTAAGGGGCGTGGCCAGGCAGGTAAGGGGCGTGGCCAGCTCAAATACAGCACCTGCTGCTCGCCAGACAGGTGAGAGGGGGCGTGGCCAGGCAGGTAAGGGGCGTGGCCAGCTCTGGGGGCGTGGCCAGGTGAGACACAGCACCTGCTGCTGGCCCGGCAGGTAAGGGGCGTGGCCTGCTCCAGGGGGCGTGGCCAGGTGAGACACAGCACCTGCTGCTCGCCAGACAGGTGAAGAAGGGGCGTGGCCAGCTCAGAAAGGGGCGTGGCCAGCTCAGGAGGGCGTGGCCAGGTGAGACACAGCACCTGGTGGTGGCATGGCAGGCGAGAAAGGGGCGTGGCCAGGTGAGACATGGGCGTGGCCATGTGGGATGGGCGTGGCCATGTGGGAAACGGGCGTGGCCAGGTGAGAAATGAGCATGACCATGTGAGAAATGGGCGTGGCCAGGTGGGAAACGGGCGTGGCCAGGTGAGCCAACTGTGACCCGCCGCTAAAGGGGCGTGGCCACAGCAGCTCCTCTGCCTCCCATTGGCTGCGTTTCCCGCAGGGCAAAGGGGCGTGGCCTCACCTGTCCCTCACCTGTGTCTCACCTGCCCAGGTGGGTTTGGGGCCGGGTTTGGGGTCAGGTTTGGGGTCAGGGCTGTGTCTCAGGTTCAGGCTCAGGTTCAGGTGTGTCTCAGGTGTGTCTCACCTGTCTCACCTTTCCGTTACCTGTCCAGGTGGGGGTCCAGCACGTGGTCGTTTACCTGAACAAGGCGGACGCGGTGCCGGGGCTGGGGTCAGGTGTGGGTTTGGGGTTCAGGCTCAGGTTCAGGGCTCTCTCACCTGTCTCACCTGCCCAGGTGGGGGTCCAGCACGTCGTCGTTTACCTGAACAAGGCGGACGCGGTGCCGGACCCGGAGCTGCTGCCGCTGGTGGAGCTCGAGGTGCGGGAGCTGCTCAGCGAGTTCGGCTTCGACGGCGACAAAACGCCCGTGGTGGTGGGGTCGGCCCTGTGTGCTTTACAGGTAGGGGCTGTATCGATAACTGATCGATAACTGATCGATAGTGATCAATAGTGATCAATAATCATCAATAGAGATCAATGGAGATCGATAGAGATCAATACTGATTGATACAGATCAATTCCCCAAACGCCCATGGTGGTGGGGTCGGCCCTGTGTGCTTTACAGGTAGGGCTGGTATTGATTACTGATCAATAACTGATCGATAGTGATCAATACTGATCAATAGTGATCAATAGTGATCAATGGTGATTGATACTGATCAGTACTGATCAATAGAGATCAGTACTGATTGATACAGATCAATTCCCCAAACGCCCGTGGTGGTGGGGTCGGCCCTGTGTGCTCTGCAGGTAGGGTCTGTATCGATAACTGATCAATAACTGATCAATAGTGATCAATAGTGATCAATGGTGATCGGTACAGATCAATGGTGATTGATACTGATCAGTAATGATCGATTCACCAAACGCCCGTGGTGGTGGGGTCGGCCCTGTGCGCTCTGCAGGTAGGGCTGGGATCGATAACTGATCGATAACTGATCAATAATCATCAATAGAGATACAATAATGTATCAATAGAGATACTGATCGATTCACCAAACGCCCGTGGTGGTGGGGTCGGCCCTGTGCGCTCTGCAGGTACGGCTGGTATCGATAACTGATCAATAACTGATTGATAATGATTGATAGATATTGATAGAGATCAATAGCGATCAATAGAGATCAATTAACTCTGCAGGCACACCTGTGTCACACCTGTGTCACACCTGTTCCCTTACCTGTCACACACCTGTCGCACACCTGACACACACCTGTAACACACCTGTCACACACCTGTATCTCACCTGTCCTTTACCTGTCAGGACCGTGACCCCGAGCTGGGGCTGCAGTCCATCCTGCGGCTGCTCGAGGCCGTGGCACACACCTGTAACACCTGTAACACCTGTGTCACACCTGTATCACACCTGTAACACACCTGTAACACACCTGTGTCACACCTGTAACACCTGTAACACACCTGTGTCACACCTGTAACACACCTGTAACACACCTGTAACACACCTGTAACACCTGTAACACACCTGTAACACACCTGTAACACACCTGTAACACACCTGTAACACCTGTAACACACCTGTAACACACCTGTAACACACCTGTGTCACACCTGTAACACACCTGTGTCACACCTGTCCTTTACCTGTCAGGACCGTGACCCCGAGCTCGGGCTGCAGTCCATCCTGCGGCTGCTCGAGGCCGTGGCACACACCTGTAACACCTGTAACACACCTGTGTCACACCTGTAACACACCTGTAACACACCTGTATCTCACCTGTCAGGACCGTGACCCCGAGCTCGGTCTCCAGTCCATCCTGCGGCTGCTCGAGGCCGTGGACTCGCACATCCCCCAGCCCCCGCGGGACCTGGAGCGGCCCTGCCTGCTGCCCATCGAGGCCGTGCACTCCATACCAGGTAAATCTACCTGTCTGACAGGTAACACACCTGTGACACACCTGTGTGACAGGTAACACACCTGTACAGCCTCTGTACTGCACTGTTATAACACCTATGTAACCCCTGTCACACCTGTGACACACCTGTGCCACGCCCTGCCTGCTGCCCATCGAGGCCGTGCACTCCATACCAGGTAAATCTACCTGTCTGACAGGTAACACACCTGTACAGCCTCTGTACTGCACTGTTATAACACCTATGTAACCCCTATCACACCTGTGACACACCTGTGTGACACCTGTCATACCTGTACTGCACCTTTATAGCATGTTTGTAACATTTACACAACACCTGTCACACCTGTGTCACGCCCTGCCTGCTGCCCATCGAGGCCGTGCACTCCATACCAGGTGAGACACACCTGTCTGACAGGTAACACACCTGTGTGATACCTGTACAGCACCTTTATAACACCTTTATAGCGTTTATATAACCCCTGTGCCACACCTGTGCCATGCCCTGCCTGCTGCCCATCGAGGCCGTGCACTCCATACCAGGTAACTTACCTGTGACACACCTGTGTGACACACCTGTACAGCACGCCTGCTGCCCATCGAGGCCGTGCACTCCATACCAGGTGAGCACACCTGTGACACACCTGTGACACACCTGTGTGACAGGTAACACACCTGTACTGCACCTTTATAACACCTTTATAGCGTCACACCTGTGCCACACCTGACACACCTGTGACACACCTGTGTGACACCTGTCACACCTGTGACACACCTGTCACACCTGTCTGACACCTGGAACTCACCTGTGTGACACCTGGCACACCTGTGCAGCACATGGAGAGCACCTGCCACACCTCTGACCTGTGTCTCACCTGTCTCACCTGTCCCCTCTCACCTGTGTCATTTCAGGGCGTGGCACGGTGGTGACGGGCACGCTGGTTACCTGTGTCACACCTGTCCTGTCTCACCTGTCTCAGGGCGTGGCACGGTGGTGACGGGCACGCTGGTTACCTGTGTCACACCTGTCCTGTCTCACCTGTCTCAGGGCGTGGCACGGTGGTGACGGGCACGCTGGTTACCTGTGTCACACCTGTCCTGTCTCACCTGTCTCAGGGCGTGGCACGGTGGTGACGGGCACGCTGGAGCGCGGAACTCTCCGGAAGGGCGACGAGGTGGAGCTGCTGGGCTACGGCCGCACGCTGCGCTCCGTGGTCACCGGTCAGTGACCCCTGACCCCTGACCCCTGAGTGACCCCTGACCCCTGAGTGACCCCTGGGTGACCACAGTGACCAATGAGTGACCCCTGACCCGGAGTGACCAATGACCCTGAGTGACCCCTGACCCTGAGTGACCCCTGAGTGCCCCATAGACCCCACAGAACCCCAAAAATCCCAAACCCAACCCCATAAAACCCCACAAACCAACCCTGCCCCATAGAGCCCTGTAAGGCACACATCCAGCCCCACAGAACTGCACAAACCCCAAACCCTGCCCCATAGAGCCCCATAGAGCCCCATAGAGCCCAGAAACCCCAAACCCTTCCCCATAGAGCCCAAACCCTGCCCCATAGAGCCCTGTAAAGCACACATCCAGCCCCATAGATCCCATAGAGCCCCACAGAGCCCCAACCCTGCCCCATAGAGCCCAAACCCTGCCCCATAGAGCCCATGGAGCCCAAACCCTGCCCCATAGAGCCCAAACCCTGCCCCATAGAACTCCATACCAGGTGAGACACACCTGTGTGACACCTGTGACACACCTGTACTGCGCCTTTATAACACCTTTATAGCGTTTATATAACCCCTGTCACACCTGTGCCACACCTGTGCCACGCCCTGCCTGCTGCCCATCGAGGCCGTGCACTCCATACCAGGTAAATCTACCTGTCTGACAGGTAACACACCTGTGACACACCTGTGTGACAGGTAACACACCTGTACAGCCTCTGTACTGCACTGTTATAACACCTATGTAACCCCTGTCACACCTGTGACACACCTGTGCCACGCCCTGCCTGCTGCCCATCGAGGCCGTGCACTCCATACCAGGTGAGCACACCTGAGACAGGTGAGACACACCTGTGTGACACCTGTCATACCTGTACTGCACCTTTATAGCATGTTTGTAACATTTACACAACACCTGTCACACCTGTGTCACGCCCTGCCTGCTGCCCATCGAGGCCGTGCACTCCATACCAGGTAACTTACCTGTGACACACCTGTGTGACACACCTGTACAGCACCTGACACACCTGTGCAGCACATGGAGAGCACCTGCCACACCTCTCACCTGTGTCTCACCTGTCTCACCTGTCCCCTCTCACCTGTCAGGGCGTGGCACGGTGGTCACCTGTGTCTCACCTGTCTGTCTCTCACCTGTGTCTCAGGGCGTGGCACGGTGGTGACGGGCACGCTGGTTACCTGTGTGATCTCACCTGTCTGATCTCACCTGTCTGATCTCACCTGTCTCACCTGTGTCTCACCTGTCTCAGGGCGTGGCACGGTGGTGACGGGCACGCTGGTTACCTGTGTGTTACCTGTGTGTTACCTGTCTCTCACCTGTCCTGTCTCACCTGTCTCACCTGTGTGATCTCACCTGTCTCAGGGCGTGGCACGGTGGTGACGGGCACGCTGGAGCGCGGAACTCTCCGGAAGGGCGACGAGGTGGAGCTGCTGGGCTACGGCCGCACGCTGCGCTCCGTGGTCACCGGTCAGTGACCCCTGACCCCTGACCCGAGTGACCAATGACCCCTGACCCCGAGTGACCCCTGAGTGACCCCTGACCCCGAGTGACCCCTGGGTGACCACAGTGACCAATGAGTGACCCCTGACCCGGAGTGACCAATGACCCTGAGTGACCCCTGACCCTGAGTGACCCCTGAGTGCCCCATAGACCCCACAGAACCCCAAAAATCCCAAACCCAACCCCATAAAACCCCACAAACCAAACCCTGCCCCACAGAGCCCTGTAAGGCACACATCCAGCCCCACAGAACTGCACAAACCCCAAACCCTGCCCCATAGAGCCCAGAAACCCCGAACCCTGCCCCATAGAGCCCCATAGAGCCCTGTAAGGCACACATCCAGCCCCATGGAGCCCATAGAGCCCATAGAGCCCGAACCCTGCCCCATAGAGCCCCAAACCCTGCCCCATAGAGCCCCATAGAGCCCCATAGAGCCCAGAAACCCCAAACCCTTCCCCATAGAGCCCAAACCCTGCCCCATAGAGCCCTGTAAAGCACACATCCAGCCCCATAGATCCCATAGAGCCCCACAGAGCCCCAACCCTGCCCCATAGAGCCCAAACCCTGCCCCATAGAGCCCATGGAGCCCAAACCCTGCCCCATAGAGCCCAAACCCTGCCCCATAGA